GTGCTAGATATTGTGTGGACTACAAAGCAGGGTAAATTCTATTTGTTGCCTTCAAGAAAAACATAATTACTTGAGAATATGAGACTAAAATCTAAGAAAAGATCCAAGAAGGTAAGTGATAGGAATGTAGCAATACTGGCCCAGCAGAGCAGCCTGGGGGGGGCGGATGGAGGTGGGCTTTGTCGGCCATGGAGTGAGTCACGTGTGAAGTCGGTCCTACACTGGCATGGAAGGAACAGTGGATTTGAGGTGGAGAAGAGAGAAAGGGATTTGTGTGTAAAGTTAAGGCTTCAGGAATGGTGGTGTTCTGTGTCAACTAATTCAGCCAAAGTAGAGGATTAATTTGGGCAGGAGCTGGAGAAAAAATATGAAAGGTGGAAAGGATAGATGACAGGTGACAGAATGACATAAATGGGTATTTTTTTATTTTGTCATAGAAACTCTGGTTTAGGACAAGGTGATAGAAGATAGAACCAGATTCATGGACAGTGATACTTTAGGCAGTTACTTGTTTTCAAAGTGTGTGTGTGTGTGTGTGTGTGTGTGTGTGTGTGTGTGTGTGTATTGGAGGAAAAGTATTTCTTTAACCTGTGAATTTTCCCATTAACCCCATAGTCATAACAAAGCTACCATACTATTTTGCTTTATTTCTTTCTTGTCTTTCTGTGTATTTAAGAATTTTACATAATTCTAAACATTGTATATCCACAATTATGTATTCAGCCTTTCCACTTCATATGATAAGCACTTTTCATGCATTACTATATAATCTCATGTAGGCTTTAAGTAAGGCAAGCATAGTGATTGCATAGTTTGTCCAATTTGGGACTGGCAGCTTTTATCACAGTTTACATTTTATATTGTGGAGATTTCATAATATGCGATATTAACTTGGCTTACTGTGTCTGGGAAACTGGTGTAGACTGTATCCAAAGATTTCCCCGCAGCTTCCTGTTCCATTAGTCAAGTAGAATTCTCATAACTAAATAGTCACTCAGAGCTCTGTTGATTTCTCACTGGGCTCAGTGGATAATATGTGACCTGTCGCACATGAGGGATTCTCCGTGGGGAGGGATGTAGCTCACAGCCTAGGCGGGACATGAGGTATTATTCTAAGGGCCCTTGCTGTGGGCTGGCTCCGCAGTTTGGATGGAGCACAGAGACAGAGAAGTCAATCAGCTGCCTGTTGGATTTGTGGGGCTCTGGAAGGCCAATTTGCTGGGATTAACAGAGGTCTGGCTTAATAAATGTGTCTGCTTGCCTAATATATTTGAGTAAATGAACCTTAAAATACTTGATTTAATTTAGCATTGGGCACCAGATACCGGTGGCTGATGAAGAAGTCAAGAATCCCGTTGCGTGTTCCAGCTTGCAAGGAAGGTGAAATCAGCCATACTGCCATAACAGCTGATGAAAAACAAAAGCAATTTGGAAAACAAAATTAGCTCCTGCCATTTCCCTAGCATGGGAATCTGTAGCTCGCCACCCGGGGACCAAGTGTTCCCATTCAGCACAGTTTGTTTGCTGTGGCTTGGTGCCCTGACTGGCTGGCAGGAGGGCACGCGCTCTTTTACTTCAGATGGCATTCCCTCTGTCCTGCAGCCCTAAGCCCCTGCTGGCCCCCGGATCTCCTAGAGAAGCAGCCAGATGGAGACCAGATCAAATCTGCTGGGATAGGAGGAATTCCACTCCTCCCAGAAGAGGCACCATTGCTCAAGATAGCACCAGCCCACCCCACCCCCCCAGTCTTAAGAAGTGCGTGCAGATAAAGGAGAGGGCGTGAGTACTGCTGAGAGCTGAAGAGAGAGATGGCTGAGGGCATAAACCCAACTGGAAGGGCAATATAATGCAGTCGTGGTCAGAGATAGCAACTCATGGAGTCAGGAAAAATAAAAGCACTTTGATTGCTTTTTGTTTGTAAACTTTTACCCTAATGTTTCATTATGAAAAATTTCAAAAAGCTGAAAGAATGGTGTAGTATACGTCCACACACCCACCACCTCGTAGTCTATGATTACATTTACTATGCTTATCCTATCATATGTCTGTCTGTCCATCCCAGTATTCATCTGTCAATCTATCTTGATTTTTTGATTCATTTAAAAGTAAATTCAAGATATCTATATACTTTGTCCTACATGATTTAGCTTGTAAATCATTAACTATATAGTTCAATAGTTCCTTACCCTTTTCCTTCATGGGGTATACAATGTATTAATGATAGGATGCACAAATAGGCAATGTGCACTTACTGAGTTTTGACAAAGACATCCACCTGTGTAAACCAAACTCCTGTCAAAGTGTATAGTATTACCATGATTCCATAAAGTTTTCTCACTCTCTTTTCAGTCAGTCTTCACCCCCAATTCTCAGAACCAACCACTATTCTGTTTTCTTTATCATAGATTGAATTTGCCGGTTCTAGAACTTTATAAAAATGTAATCATATGGTATAAATTCTCTTGCATATGGTACTGTTAATATATGTACATACATATATATATCAGGATTTGTTCTTTTATATTCACTGTATGAATATACTATGGTTCATTTATTCATTTTCTTACTGTTGAATTCCTGGGCTGTTTCTAGTTTTCAGCTGTTATGAATAAGCTACTATGAGCATTTTGTTTTGTTTTGGTTTTGAGCATGTGTTTTCTTTTCTCTTGACTAAGTTCCTAAGATTACAGTTGCCAAATCATAAAATGTGCAATGGTATAACCACTTTGGAAAAAATTATTGGAATTTCTTATCAAGCTAAACTTTTTCATAAGTGGTTGTAGCATTTTCCATTCCCATCAATATTATATGAGAATTATAGTTGCTCTGCATCTTCGACACTATTTGGTATTATCATTTTTTAATATTAGCCATTTGGGGTGTGTAGAAAAATCTCATTTTCTTTCTGAAGAACGTGACTAAGGTAATGAAGCCACTGAGAGTTTTCTGAGGGGTAAACCCTAATGTGCTGACCACCAGGAACTAGAAACTTTACCTGAAGCCATTTATCAATCTCATAGATTCTCATTTGCTGAATGAGTCCTCACAGATCTTCTAAGGCAAACCCTTCATTCAAGGTAGAGGACTAAAACCTAGAATGGGAACAGACTTTGCTCAAGGTCATTCTTTAAGATAGTATCAGAGCTAGAGTTTCAAGTCACTGTTTTCGTTACACTAGGGATGGCAACTCTGTGACACAGGTTTTTCCTCCCTGATTCCATCCCATAGCGGTGCCTGACATTGCTCTGCTGAGCCCAACTTCACTTCAGCTTCTTTCTCAAAACAGGATTCTAATCAGCCACTATTGGTGCATTGGGTTTTAAGTGCATGGCAGAACCTACTTGCACCTCATCGTTACTTAATTCAGAAGGCCACATGCTTGTGTGTAACTTCACCCAGCCCTAAGTATGGGGAAGAATGCCTGAACTGTGGCGTTTGCCCTTAGTTAAGGGAAGTAGTGTATCTCTTTCCATTCTCCCTTGCTTTTTTCATTTAGTAAGTGGAAAAGAAAGAATATCAGAAGCTTGAGGCAATATCTCCAATCCTGCCCAACTCCAGCCATCAGTCAGATCATAAAATAGAGCTATAGAATTTTAAAGCAGAAGAAATTAAATTATTGTTTCAGAGGCCCTGCTGAAAATTCCAAGCGGGAAAGGAATTTCTGTCTTGCAGTGCAGACACCATGTGAATGCTGGATCTTGGAGCCTCTGCAGGGCTCTGTGTGAGTGTGCTGTGGAGTGCTGGCCCAGACACCCGCCCCCACTAAAGGGCAGCTCTGTGCACCCCTCAACTGGCTGCATTATTGCTCTCCATCCTGTTGTTTTCTGACACACAGAGAGGAGAGGGAGTTTTGTCATCTGTGTTTGTGACATCCCTATCAGCTGCTTTAGACCAGCTTCCTACGGTTACATTGTCTTACCTTCGGAACAGCGGAGAACTTGTGAGAGCACCCACTGTAAGATGTCCACTGAATAATGACTCTACAGTCTCGGGATCTGCACTCTCTTCTCTCTGATAAGCATCTGCTTTTATCAAGATCCTTTTTCCCAGGAAAATAATATAATTACAGTTGACCCTTGAACAACACAATCTGAACTACTCAGGCCTACTTATATATGGATTTTTTTTTCCAATAAATGCAATTGGCCCTCCATGTCCATCCACAGTTTCCACATATGCAACCAAGTGTTGATCAAAAATACAGTATTTGCAGGATTCAAAATCTGCGGACATGGAAGGCCCCATGGATTTGAGTATGTGCAGATTTTGGTATCTGCAGGGGTCTTGGAACCTAACCCCTGTTGATTCCTAGATATGACTGTTCTATTTCTCTCTTTATACTTGAGAAGTTCTTATCTCTTATAATGATAGGGGAGAAAAACAGGAAAAAAAAAGATTAAGAAATGATCACAAATATGTATGTTGTCCAAACTATTAAAAATGGTAAGAATGTCTTGCAATGGAAAACACAGATATAATAAAACAAAAAGTCAGTGCCGACTGTGCCTCCAATTTACATACATTTTCTGCTGTATGAAAAACAATGTGCCTAGGGTGGGCAATACAGAAGTAAATAACATGTCATCACTATTGTGAAAGGTCTTTTAGTCCATGAATACAGGATGGACATACAAGTGACACTAGGTATTGGGGGAGAAGAAAAATGATTTCCTATTCCCAGAAGCAACAGGAACAGGTTGTAAAAGCTGCTTCTACTTTGCCCCAGGAGAAGGAATGGAATGACATGCAAAATCCAGGGTGTCTGATCTTATCCTCATCTCTTGTAATTAACATTTTTATAATGTATATCAAGTATGTTAATACTCTTCCTGGATACTGGAAGAATAATCAGTTTTAGGAAGCTGTATAAAGTGTCTTATTTTTTGTTGTTTTTTTTTTCCTTTTCCAAGTTGACAGTCTGAGGTTTACAGGGCAGGAAGGAAGGAAATAAGATATGCCACAGAGGACTGAATGGGTGTTGTTACTTCTCTGTCTTGTAGCCCCTCATCACCTTGGACAGCAGCATCTCCTTCACGTTCCTGGCAGAGGGAACCAACACCATCACTGTCCAGGTGGCTGCTGGGAATGCCCTTATCCAGGACACAAAAGATATCGCAGTTCATGGTGAGCCCCGAGCCCTGAAAACTGTCCTGAGATGCTCTTTCCTGCCCAGCTGATTTCCTCTTGATCCTTGTGGCAATCACTGATTGCTTCAGAAATTCCCCAGGCCATAGGAAAATTATGTAGATCAACAAGAGTCACCCAAACCTACCTCCTAGGTAGAGATTCAGGCTATAAGGAAAGCATATCACAGACATGTATTTATTCTCCCCTGTGGAGTGTCTGCATCACAGTCTGTTGGGGTTCTCATTAGACAGAGACATGTATCATAAGCTGAAGGAATGCCAGCCGGAGAGACTGTCATGGAAGGAGCTAGATCAGATGTCTTGATTAGGTCTCTGCAACACACAAGTAGCACCTACTCTGTGAGAAGGGGAACGGTGATTTCAAAAACTGGAGGAGTCATGGTCCCTGCCCATGTAGGACTCATAGCTCAGGTAATGAGATGACCTGCCCATATGTGGTTTCTTGATTGTTGGAGCTTCTAACATCATTGGCTGCAAAGGCTTAATAATAAAGCTAAGAATATAAACTTAGACAATGATAGGAGAGTAGTGAATAGGGCCACCATCATGTTCTCAATCCTGGAGAACCATTCTTGGTTATTAAATTTATTTTGAATGAAATTGATCATGCTTCTCCTTCCATCCCATACAACCTCCCCTAGGTCCCTGGACACAGCCACTGTCACTGGTTTTCTAGAAGGTTGTAGGAAACTATGTGAGTCTCTGACTCAGACTATGTTTCTCTAGCCTCACCCCAGGTGAATTCCTTTCCTACATCTCTGCAAACTTGTGCTCAGCTTCTTCATGGTGTATTTGAAAGGTTTTATTTTTTTTAAGCAAAGACTTTTATTGAAGTATATATTTTATATAGAAAAGAGCACAAGTGTTTAGCTTCCTGAATTACCATAAAGTGAATAGACATGTGTACTTACCAACCAGGTTAAGAAATTGAACATGAGCCTCACTCTGGATACAAGGTTTCTGCCTACTTTCTAATTCTCTGTAGCAGATTCTAGCATAATGGACAAAGGGACTGAGGAAGGAGAAATGAAGAGGCTTCATTGTGAATACTTTTTGCTGGCTTTGTGTGATGCCACCTACTGTAGCAGAAGTCACCTTCTAGAGTTCCATGCTTCTCTTTCATTTCATATCATATTATTTATAAGAGGAAAGGCTTGAGATCTTAGTGACTAACAAAACTGGTAGGAGCACAAATCTACTTCCAATCCTCAAATCCCACTTTCTTCCAGAAGCCAAGAAACAAGCTGAGAATAAAGGTCTGACTCATAAAAGAGAAGACCATTCCCCTAAAGCACAGTGATTGTGGAGCCCCTCCCCCCACAGCCTCTCTCTTCTCCCTCTCCCAGCCTCACCTGCGTACTCTCTCCCCTGCAGAATACTTCCAGTCCCAGCTCTTGTCATTCTCTCCTAACCTGGACTACCACAATCCTGACATTCCTGAATGGAGGCAAGATATTGGCAATGTCATCAAGAGAGCTCTGGTTAAAGTAAGTTGGCTTTATCTCCATGTAAGTCTTTCTGAATAAGAGAAAGAACTCGATGGTGTGGTACAGAATACCTTTTCATGGATTAAAACCATCATCCTACAATTAGATAGAGGTTGCTGTTATGTGAAATGAGAGAGAGAAAGGAAAAATGGAGGGAGTAAAGGAAGGAAGGGAAGAAAGAGTAAAGAAAGGAGCAAAAGAGACAGAGAGGGAGAAGGAGAAGGAGGGAGGGAAGGAGGAAGAGGGAGTCCAGTCAAGTGTTTGAAGATGGAAGTTGGCCCAATGTTTATCTTGAATTTTTCCAAGACAGTGGCTTGATCCCTTTAATGAACCATTCACTGAGTTGATACTAATATCATGCACTTGGCTGACTCTTTGCCTACCAAAGGGATCTTCTTCACCAGACATTCAGACTCACAAGATTACCGTTGGCCATAATGGGGCACTCATAAGGCTGTAGGCCTTTCCTGTAGGCTAAAGGCCAGGAAACAGCATTTAAGCAGGGTGACAATTATAGAGCTAACTCAAGATCAGGTTTGCCTAGAGAAAGTGAAAGGGCTTGGTGAACTATTTTTCAGCGCTAGGCACTAGAACATAAGGATGGATAAAACATGGTCAATTTAAATATAAAAATAAGGCTGATGTGTGACCAGCTCTAAGTTAGAGGTATGGCCAGCTTCTCCAAGAAGCATAGAGAAAAGTGTGAATTGCTCTATCCCTGGAAGTGCAGGTTTGGCACAGGTTTGCAATTCAATAAATACTTGTTAAACTATTGAAATGATTTTGAAGGGGATACTTGAACTGTGTTTTAAGGGATAAATGTTAGTTAACATTGGGAAAAGAATGGTATCTTTTGGGTAGAATGAACAGCAAATGCAAAGCAATGGACTGTTGGACGAGTACAGCATATTTGGGAAATGGCAAAGAGTTTGATGCAGCCAATCTATAGGTTATAAGGGAAACTGTGGCTAAAGTTGACCTAGGGTGGTTAGGTCAGATTGGGAAGGGTCTGAGAAGCTACAAGGAGCTTGGCATCTATCCTATAGGTACTGCAAAGTATGGAAAGTATTGTTTTTCTTCTTTTATTGAAGGAAGGAAATTCTACCAATGGATTTATATTTGTCACCCATTCTAGTGGCAATGCAGAGGAATGGGTGGCTGGGGTGGCAAGGGAACAGGATAGGAGAGAGATTTCACGGAAGATGCCTAGTTAGAAGACCATTGCAGTGATCTAGGCCAGAGAACCTAAGACCCTGAAGAGGAAAGAGTCAAAGGCTGCTTAGGAAGTTGAACAATAGAACTGGTGAGTAATAAAATGTAGTTTCAATGAGAGGAGGGCGAAGCTTTCTGATTAGAAGAGTCCATAGGAGATGGCCTTGTCTTTAGTCAAGATGAGCATTATGTGGGAGAAACATGCTTGGGAAACAATAGCGGATCAGCCTTTCCAATGTAAGTTGGAGCATCTGAGAAAAACAATGGGGTGAAGGGGACCAGGAGAGTTGAAAAGACGGGTCTGCAGATGAAGCCGAGAGGCAGAGGGGTGAGCGTTGAGGCTGTGGGGGTTGTCAGGCTCCCCAGGGCAGGGGCAGATGCCACCTGAAGCCAAGGAGAAAGATGCAGGAAGGGCATGGAGAAGGAGCCGACAGAAAGGAAGGTAACAGAGGAGGATTTAAGAGCATTCCTGTGGGGAGTTGTCTATAAGAATAACTACACTTGAAATCCTTCTGTGAAGAGATTGTTCATAGAAAGAGATGAAAATGAGAGTTCTGCGTGTGCTCTTTTAGTCTGTTTGGGCTGCTTTAACAAGATACCATAAACTGGGTGGTTTATAAACAACGGAAATTTATTTCTTATAATTCTGGAGGCTTGGAAGTCTAAAGTCAAGGTTCCAGCAGATTGGATGTCTGGTGAGGGCCCATTACCTGGTTCACAGATGGCACCTTCTTGCTGTGTCCTCACGTGATGGAAAGGGCAAGGCAGTTCTCTGGGGTTTCTTTGACAAGGACTTTGATGCAATTCATGAGAGCTCTGCCCTCACAACCTAATCACCTCTCAAAGGCTCCACCCTAACCATCACATCGACGATTAGGTTTCAACATATGAATTTGGGGTGCGGGGGACACAAATATTCAGACCCTAGCATATGTCTTTGATTGTGAGGCATCCAGAATTACATTTTGCATGGCTACATTTATTAGAAACTTGTTAGCTTTTAAAGACATAACTTGGCAATTATACTACTACTACTACTAAACAGTAATAATCAATCGTGTCATTTGATTCGTATGCCTCAAATCTCACGAGGACTGATCATTGACAAGTCCCTTTGGAAGGGACTAAGTGAATCTAGGGACACAGCCCCAGGCTTCCTCCAAAGTTCTTGACTGACTGACACTCCCCGAGACTACTCTTTTCTGAGACAAAGGGTCACTCCAGCCAAGGCACTGATAGGCTTGCCCTCTTCACTCCATTGGGTGATTCTCTGCATTTCGCCCCTAAGTCTGGTGTCCTGAGACTTGCTTTCCCTGGGAGGTTCAGATAAGGCCTTCCTGCCCCATGACATGAGCAGCAGTGAGATTCCCAGCTCCTCAAGGGTCATGTCCCCCAGCAGGAATACTGAGGCATGTTGCAGACCACCTTGGGGTTCCAAGAGGATGCCTTGTTGGCTGGTGGACTTTTTCTAATGTGGGTGCTCCTATGTCCCTGCAGGCTGGCTCCCTCACTTTTCTCACATCCATCCCTGAGAATGAACTCCAACATGTAAGCCTAGTTCCACATAGGAATCAGAGTTGAGAAAATATGGCCGGGGGGAACCTTTGTTTCTAATCAATTCATCAAGTGTCTTTTGGAACAATGAGGTAGCCACAAAGACCCCCAGGAATGCGTGGGCAAGCACAGAGTAAGAACCTATCAGAGAAAAGATTGTACCTTCCAGATGTAATCATATGTCTCAGTGGACATGATCTATGTCCCTGAATTGTGGCGGACGTGGAAATCCGGTGGTACCCGGGGTGAGAGTCCGAAGTGGAGGAGATCACTACGGGCAGAGATAGTCAGAGGGGACTTCCTGGAGGAGGTGGGCATTTCAGCTGAACCACATATGATTACTATATATCATATTTGGATAAGCAGAAGAGGTGTTGTTCTGGATAAAAGATCTTCAGGAGGCACGTAGGAGAGAATAAGCATTCTCCTTACAGGGGGAGAACTCACAGTCCTGTTTTCTTTAAGAATTCATTCGCCTTCAGACAGAAACTAACTTTTAAGTTTTTATTACAAAAGCAATATAATCATTTTACTAAGCAGTCAGAAGTAGAAAAATTCACTCATAATCTCAGTCTCTTAAAAAATTTTAGTATTTTGTTATTTTCTCTTCTGTACATTTGGATTTTTATGGCATTGTAACCCAAGAAATGTAAGGAAATAGATCAGAGGGCAGCTATCAGAAGTATTTTTCTATGTTGCCTCATAGTACTCATTATCATCTTAATGACAGAATAACATACTATCAGGTATTAAATAAATACCAACATTTATTTATTTGAATACTTGAGTTTTTCCCATTTATTTGCCATTATAAATAATGTTGTGAGTATTTTTTCCTCCATATGGCTTTTCCTGTGTTTTCAATCGTGTCTTTAGGACAAACTTGCCAAGTTACAGTTACTGAATGAAGGGTATGCATATTTTTATGGCCTTAAAGTAAGTCTTTTGGAAAACAAATTGGCAATATGTATCAATTTTTAATGCTATCAGCACCAAATGAGGGAACCTCCTTCACTGCAGCCTCACCAATATTAGCCATTAAACTTAACAACAACAAAAATCCTGCTTTCGTAAGTGAAAACAAGTGCTGCTCTGCTTTCTTTAAATTTGCATCTTTCCCTATTTGTTTATGACTCTTTATTCCTCATTTGCAGCCAGTCTGTTTGTGTTTTAGCTAGAAGCTCTGGTTCTCTTAGTGCAGAAAAATGAAAAATATGTAAGAAACTTTTGCAAATATTCTCAGCAAATAATGCTTTGAAAATCATTTGTGATACTATTTTAATTTCTGTAAAAAAATGTATATCAGAGCAGAGGGGGTAGTGAAACTAGTAATTCTTTACCTAGCAGATCTAGGGGAAAACAGAAAGAAAGCCTGGATGTATATTGGAGCCTGTGCCTAAAATGCTGCATTTAAAAAATGTACAGGGGCCCTCTGGCTGTGCACCTCTGCTCCGTGTTACTGATCCTGGAAGGTCGGCTCTCCCAGGTCCTCACCCTTTGTCTAAATATCTTTGCAGGTAACCAGCGTCCCAGAAGACCAGATCCTGGTTGCCGTGTTCCCTGGCCTCCCCACTTCAGCAGAGCTGTTCATCCTCCCCCCCAAGAACCTGACGGAGAGGAGGAAAGGCAACGAAGGGGACCTGGAACAAGTAAGTGGAAGCAAACGTGACTGGGCCCCTTGCTGTACTCCACACTCGGAGGGGGCACAAAGCTGTTTCCAGCCAGAAAGGGAGACAGGGTCTCTCTCCCATTGCCCCACTAGCCTGTCAGCCTTTGCCCAACACCCAGGGTTTTGAAGAACAGTCAGCCTTACCTGGAATAAACACAAATGTAAATTGACTGGAACATTCAGTTACCTAGAAAGGAAAGGCACCCCAAGGTCATCCATTGCAATGGCTAGCAGCCCTGCACCTGGCTCATGCCTCCCCGCTAGCTAGCGACCCCTCCTGGGGTGAGGGGGCAGGCAGCAGAGAAAGGGGGTGGTGGGATTTGAGTTGCTCTACCTGTTCCTGGGACTATGTGCTTCTTGTTTTTAAACTGCACTGGCCCTATAGATCCTGGCCTATTTAAGCTCTGATTCTGGGGAGAAAATGAACTACTTTTAAAAGTGTTTCTTTGAGAGGGATGGTTTGTTTGCCTCATCTTGCTTTGACGAAGGAACCAGTCTTCCCAAAAGGGCTTGTGATTTACTGTTCTTATCAAATGGGCGTATAGAACTATCCTGTGATCTGCACACTTCCCTGTAAGTAAGGAGATGGCCAGTCTGGTGTTTCTCCCTGTCACTGCCTGCTCCTCCTGGGGTCCCAGTGACTGCACTCTGTTTCACCCTTCCCTGCCTTCCCGTGATGCTCAGTCAGGAGAAGTGGAAATAAGTGAGAATGAGCCTGCAGGAAATCAGCATGAATCAAACACATTTGCTCCCATACAAGGTAATCATTGTACAGACACTGTCTGTGCCCTGATGGTCTTCACCTGGCCATCACCCTGTCCCCATCTCCACCCACAGTCCTCGAGCAGCACAGATGCAATGGCAGTTTCTCTGGAAAATGAAACAGCCCTTTCCATTGCAGGGTTGCATATTGAAGTTGGCCAGAAATAAATTCAGCTTCTCAATGCATACATCACTTTTACAAGACCTCTTTATTCTGAAATAGCAAGTGGCATGTGTGAACTATATTTGGAAGCTACAATATCCATCCATTTAGATAAATAGGTAATTACGGTGATGAATAGCAGCTGTGATATTAAGGCGCGTACAGCGAGATAAGAGTTAGGGACAACAGCCTAAGTCTGCCTCAGCTTTCATGTGGGAATTACAGAGTGATTAAATCGATGTTATGTGTTCTGAGACTTGCCGGGGAAAAGTAAAGAGGAAAAATTATCCCATAAAAAGGAAGCAGCTTCTGCTTTGATGTTTGCTTCCCATTGTCTCTAAGATAGAAAAAGCAGAGGAGTGGGCTGGGGGTGTACGTGCCTGCTTTAATCCTGGAGGGGGCCTCCATCCCTGTGTGTATTACTTGATCAGATTAAAGAGCTAATGATGGGTTGACTTTCTTTTATTGGAACCCATAACAGATCTACTAACGGTAGGCAATAAAGGCATGGATGAAAGAACCCTGAAGTAGGAGTTGAATGAAACACCTAAGACTGTTATAGCTCTACTTTACCAGATGACTGTGGGCACACCTCTTTCTGTCTCACTTCTCCCTCTAGAATAAGCAAATAATACAAACCACAGTCATGCCTCCATACACATGGGGGATTAGTCCAGAATCCTCACATATAACAAAATCCACACATATTCAAGTCCTGTAGTTGGCCCTGCAGAACCCACATATGGGAACAGTCAGGCCTCCATATGCATGTTTCTCATCCCTTGAATACTATATTTTCTATCCATGTTAAGTTGAAAAAAAATCTACATATGAATGGACCTGGATAGTTCAAACTCATGTCCAAAGGCCAGTTGTATTTCCTTGGCTTCACAAGGCTCCAAGAGCCAAATGGGTAAAGATATTCCAACATCCTGTTTCCTGATTGAACATGGTCACTTTTTACCTATTAACCTTCTCTCTGGTTTCTTACCCCACAAGGGGACATCATCACATGTCTCTTTCTCTCTATCTCTATTTCTCTCTCTCTTTAGATTGTAGAGATACTGTTCAATGCTCTAAACCAAAATTTGATCCAGTTTGAGCTGAAGCCAGGGGTCCAAGTCATTGTGTACGTGACACAGCTGACATTAGGTGAGTGCCGCTGGGAATCAGGGGAAAATGGAAGAGAAAAGGGAGGAGATAATCACCAAACATTTTGCTTTGGAGGAGGGCCCTTCTGCGTAGTGACAGTTTAGAAAGATTAGTCATATATATCTCCCTGGAGGCGCCCGGTGGTGGTGGCAGGAAGACTGTGTGAGGAGTGAGTTTGCCATTAAATCCCTAGATAGTTTTAGAGAAAAACCTACAATTTCTTTGGGTCATGACTTTATTTATTTATGCATTTATTTATTATTCATTATTTATCTGTAATAGTGGGATTACATTGCATAGTCCTCGAGCTCTCTTCATTTGTATGATTTTTTTTTTTATTTCATGAATCTTAGATAGGAGACCAGATAATATAACTTTAAAATCCCCTTCCAATTCACAACATGTGAGTCTAAGTAGCAACAGGGAAAAGCTCTCACTGGTACATGTATGATAGGAACAAAAAAGGCATGTCTCAGGCAAACAAAAAAGGCATATCTCATTAGGCATCTACTTCTGGCTCTCTGGCAGAGTCTATTTGCCAAATGATTTTTATTAATGTAAGACCTTTTCAGATGTGGAAGTCCAGCTATGCCCATCCAGTGATATTCTACCTACCAGAATATCATGGTGCAAGAGAATGAAACTCTGCATTATACTTAACCCAAAAATTCAGTGGGATGCCTATAATCATACTGGCTGGCACACAGGCTGTCCAGGAAAAAGAGCATTTGAGCCCTTCTTCCTTGGCCAGACACACCACACATTGTTCAGTTTACACCAAGGACAGCAAATTTCCCTGGGCAGAACAGAGGAATTTACTTTCCCCAACAAACTGCCATTAGGGATATCATTCTCATCATTGAAGCCAGGCTTCCTGTGCCCAGAGAGCTCTCAGGAAAATTGGAGACTGGACATAGGATCGAGACCAGTGGTCTCCTTTCTCTATTGAGTACTCCCTCTAGCTAATAGCTTCCAAGTGAATATGTCTGTTCTTTCCTCCTAGCTCCCTTGGTGGACTCCAGTGCTGGGCATAGCAGCTCAGCCATGCTTATGCTCTTGTCAGTGGTGTTTGTTGGCCTGGCTGTGTTTTTGATCTATAAGTTTAAAAGGTATGTGCTTAATTAAGATCTTGGGTTAGTTTCATTACAGATGATTCTCCCTGTAACTAACTTTCCTAAACTCATCTCAATAATTTGATTTTAATTTTCCTTGAAGTTCTGTTGACATTGGGGAAAACCAGAAATATTTAAGGGTCAGAGGGCATAAGTGGGTTTAAGAATCAGAACTCCATCCAATTTATAGGTAGAATGAGCTGAGTAAATCCAGTTTGAGCTGAAGCCAGGGCTTCAGGTCACCATGTACGTCACACAGCTGACATTAGGTGAGTGCCGCTTGGAGTCAGGGGAAAATGGATATGATGATCTGTTATCCTTAGCCTACAAAATTTATTTATTCTCCTCAAGAGAAGGGTTAGGGGTTTTCAAACCTCACCCGAATTTCTAAAGTAAGGTCTCAAATAGTCAGAAGATCTTTTGATACAGGTCAACTCCCCCATTCAGGGTGGTCAAGTAGAGAAAAGGCAGCTAAAATCTGATACATGTACAGACACACACATACATTTTCACATCTCCTTTTGCAGCTACCCAGTATCTCTGTTTAAAAGTACATGCTAAAAGTATTCAGCCTTCATCCCTTTCCCTGTTTTTCATGTTCTAAATGTAAATTCATCAGGAAAACTAGACTATACACATATTTGTAAATTATTTTTCAAAGCCACAGGAGAGGTGGTATAATAAGATACTTATTACAAAAACGGAATTGAAATCAATAATTCTGTACCAACATTTAAATTACTCCTACCAGGAAGTGTACTGGTTAAGAGTATGAACTCTGAAATCTGACAGATCCAATTTTAACTTTTAGCATTTGTAACCTTGGGCAATATTATTTGTATCTCTAAGCCCTAGTTTCCTCATCAGTAAAATGAAGATAAAAATAATCCTTTATAGGTTTGCTATATGGTTGAAATGTCATAATATCTATAGTAAATACTAAATAACAAAGCTAAGCTATTATAAATAACAAAGAGCATGTCTTCCAAAGATACTTTCTATGTCATAAACTGGGACATAGTAGGCTTTCAAAAATTTTTATCGCTCTTATAAAGATGTGCTTTTGAGGAGTTCTGGGTGAATTAAAAATATTATTACTATCATATGAGTTTTGAAAGCACCCTTTGGTCTTGGGACTCTTTCTAGGCACTGAAGGTGATACTTTTAGGCTTTGGTAGAGATCAGTGGTAAAGGACTCTTCCTGTCTTCCTCCTTCCTGCTTAGCTCTCTGGTAGGGGGTATCTCAGTTACTTAAAAGTGCTAGTATTACTCAACATACCTCTCAGCATTAGCCACAACAGCAGAAATCCTATCAACACCCTCCATGTCCACTACAAGGATGGAGATTTGTGTCCCTACTCGATTTATAGACCAGTATGTAAGTTCATGTCCTCTTGGACCAACATTTTGTCAACCCACCTGTCCCTGCTCCCTTTGAAGACAGAAAAAACCTTTATGTCACAACTAGAAACAAAAGGCTCAATTTACAAACAATCTGATTAAGGCAACACCCATTCATAGATGTACTTCAGTTATATGCAGAGAACATTTTCACTTTTGACTTGTCCAAGGATTTGATTGTGGGGAAGCCTGGTAGTTACTGGGGCCTGCAAATCAACTAAGCCAAATGTGTCACCTCTGGCTCCATAGTTGCTAAGGATGAGGGCCAATTGCAGTCCTGCAAAGAGGCATTTGTGTCCGAGGGCTCCAAAGCAAGGACACTTAAGGATCACTTGTCCAATGACTTGGAAAGTTTCTGTTTCTTTATAAATATGTTTAAACTTCCTAGACAGTCAATTTATTCATGTAGACATCTCTAAACATGTTCACTTTAATATATGAATCCATGCCAGGCAATGGCATCTCTGAACTATTCGACCTTTATAGTTCCTCATTATCAGCCAACCATTTCTAAATCCCTGACAGTGGATCATGTAGCTAAGGCTACAGAAAATAAACACCAATCAAACTGGATAACAGCAGCATCAGCTAAGAGTAGCCAGTCATCAGTTAACCTTTATTGTTCTGGCCCCTTTTTTGGGACATTTTCCTCCCAGTGTTCAAGCCCTTTGGTGAGATTCTGTTGGATTTTCTTTTATTTCTTTGGCCTCCTTTCCCTCCCTATCACGTGGTACCACAATGACAGCTAGATGGAGGGTGCCTAGTTTGCAGCAAGTGAAGGTCCGGTTTCTAGCTGGAATCCTAGAGTCTCCTTTGCTTCTTTCATTACTGCACAGTGGAGCTTCTGCAATGATAAAAATGCTCTATAATCTGTATTGTCTAATACCATAGCCGCTAGTGTGACTGAGGAACCGAATTTTAATTATATTTAACTTTAATTAATTTAAATGTAAATAGTTAGTAAATGCTCTGTTGAACAGCACAGTGGGCTTTCCTTTCTGTGTCCAGATCACTGGGCGTTCTGAATTTTCAGACCCAAAACTTCCTCTCTATAATTGCCAGCGTTAACTCATGAAACCATTCATTCGCTCCACAAATATTTATTGAGTGCCTGCTGTGTGCCAGGCACTGAAAATGATTTCAATGTCCCAAGTGGTCACTTAACAGTGAGTAGGAGAATAGAGTTACCATGGGCCTCAAGCTTCCTTTAGGTAAATATTACCCTGCCTCTCACAGTCCAGCATGCTCTTAGATGGTGACTGCTATCTTCCAGTGTCTCCGCCAATATGATTGATATGGCTTTTAATTTCTGAAAAATGCCTCATAAGACAGACTTTCTTTCCACAACTATAGATCTGCTTTTTCTGGTTATCCAAGAGAATGTTTCAGCTTTTATATTCCTTCCAGCCATTTCTTCAGTAGGGCTTTCATTACCATCCAAAGTCTACTTTGCTCTGTCTAAATTTCCTCCCATGAGCTTCTATCACTCATGATAGCTGGAGCAAACAAATACAAATTGCAGTTGGTTTTGGTTTTCATCTTTTAAAAATTTTTGTGGGGAGACTTGGGCCTATCCATCTTACTCCTCTTATTTAAACCTATATGAATATGTGGTCCAAGACATATCTCTTGATAGCCTCATTTCCTCCCTTTCTCATATGCAAAAGCAAGGGTCAGACTTGACTTATATTCTCAACAGCCTACAAGTGGATGTGTCAAGAAATGAAAGCAACCGTAAAATTTTTTAAAATGCTGCAAATTGTGATATAAAATTTATTCCCTTCCAACCATCTATGTGAAAAAGATGAAAAATATGCCAGTTTTTAGATGTGTTGTTTGGAAACTAAAATAAGTGAACAACCTTTATAGGGGCAAGTTTATCCAAATCCCCATAGATATCATTAGCGAAGCAGGAAGGAGGAGGTAGCGAGCCCTGGTTACCACTCCGAAGTACACAGGCTTGTGTGATTAGGAATGGTTTGACCACCCCAGCACCTCATCAATATTACAGTCGATCACGCCATTCAGGAGCAATGTGTTTTGTTATGATTGGAAGGAATCTAAGTCATTAAACTGCATTTCTATCCAGATAAAAAGAAAGTAAGGGCCAACATGAATTTTTAATTACAGACATTCAGAGAGCCTGCTGTTTGCTGCCTCACACAGACTCTATTCAGTTAAAGTTCTTGTAAATTATATTAAACTGGTTTAGACTAGTAGGCATCGTGGGTTCACCTCCCTCAATGTATGGAAAGCAAACATTAAAGACGTGAAAACTGAACATAAAAGAAAGGTAGAAACTGCTGCATGTTTTAAACCTATTTTCAGATTTTTTTCTTCTGAATTAGCTACAGGAAAATCTTATTAAATGTTTCCACATTCTGGTTCATTGGGGGTTAGAGTGGGGAGAGGGATGTAGAAGTCTGAAAATACCACTGACTGGCACTGGGACGGCAGGGTGATTCTCCCTTAGAAATGCATAGAATGGCCTGGATGGAGGTAGATGTCAGATGTCCCCAGTTTTAATGACATCTAGGCCAGTAATTGACTTCCTGAAATGTCTGGACTTTAGTCTCATTTTTCCCCATTCTTTGATGAGGTAAGAGGGGTTTCTTCTAGAAGTGATATTCTAAGATAAATACGTGTTTTTATTGAAGAATATGGTATAGTAAAGTAGAAAGAGCACAGGCTTTGAGGTCATTTATTCCATAAACACTTAATGAATGTAAACCATGTGCCAAGCACTGTGCTAAATGAAGTGTATCGTAGTGAAGATGGAAAACCCACATGGGGTTTTTAGCCTAGTGAGAGAGACAGACAGAAAACAAGTCAGTAAACATTGCCTATTCCATCACCTTAAACCAACGCCTTATTTATCTCTTTTGTAGGTATTATCCCTGCTTATAACAGGGGGGGTTGGGTGGTCGGGGGAGGATGACACATAAGCCAGGCTCTGAAAGAGAAGAGCGGATGGAATTGTGTTACAGGCAGAGGGAACAGTTGATTCAAAGTCTCTAAGATGTGGGAGAGCTTCATGTGCTAGAGTTGGACAACTCAAAATTTGGGTCTCCAGCCAACCAGAAGCATGAGCTTCACCTGGGAGCTTGGCAGAAATGCAGAATCTCAACCCATCCAGCCCAGACCCGGAGAGTCACAATTCGCATTTTCACAGTGACGCCTAAGCGCATTCGAGTTTGAGAAGTGCTGGGTTGGAGGAATTCAAAGGAGGCTACAGAGGCAGGAACACAGTGGGCAGGAGATGATGGGGATGGGTCAGCCCACAAATGCCTCTACAAGATTTCAATCTGAACCACTCCTCCAGCCACAAGACAACCTGCCTTGTGTTTCTAAATCCACTACTTTTGTTTCTTTGAAGGGAGTTATTTAGCTTCTCTTAATTCTCTCTACAATGGTTTTTTAAAAAATCTGTTATCCCTATTGAACAGATGAGGAAATGGACTCTCAAAGTATTTAAGATACTTGGTCCATAAGTGTGCTTTGAAAATTGCAGCAATGGCTATGAGTCTATTATTTCTTAGCTATTCATGAAAGAAGCCAATGTGAATTGATTAAATTGGTATAATCTTAGAAAAATATGTCTTTTCATTGTGCACAAACCTATGAGTCTCAAAGTCCAGCTCCTTTAAAAACTTAGTAACAGGTAAATATTTTAAGGGTTTTAGTGCCTAACCAACCAGGAGCATTCCCCTTCGTTTGTAACTGCTTGGCTTTCACCCCAGGAGAAGGGGCATTTCTCGGGAGTTCTGTGATTATAGCTTCCATGGGCACTTGGGTCTCTGGGTGGCCTTGTGTTCCTTGGCCTCAGGACCACAGTGTCTCTGGGTGACTCATAGCTTTCCCTGACATTGGCTCCTCCTGTTAATAGCTTAGTCCTCTCCTCTCACCCAGGATTTCCAATTGCCCAAGTTTGGCATGCCCTGTGATCTTAATCTTATTTTACTCTTGCCTCATGTAGGAAAATCCCCTGGATTAACATCTATGCCCAAGTCCAACATGACAAGGAGCAGGAGATGATTGGGTCAGTGAGCCAAAGTGAAAACGCCCCCAAAATCACACTCAGTGACTTCACCGAGCCTGAGGAGCTGCTGGACAAAGAGCTGGACACCCGGGTCATAGGTATGTGTGCCTGTACCACCAAGCTCCTGTGTCCTCTGTCCTCTCAACACTAGGTCCATCAGCCTACTTCACACGTGCTAGACAGTACTGGACTGGAGGGTGAGGGAAAGCAATTGGCTACAGTGATGTAATTGTGTTTGAAAATTTGTCTGCCACCTCTGGCCACATGGAATTGGCAGAATTCTTTTCCCTTAAAAGTCAATCAAGATTGGAAGCACTGGGCTCTGGATGGGGGAGGGATGAAGCCAACTATCCATTAATTTTGGACTTTTTCTTCTTTTTCTACAAAGCAAAAGCATTATTTGTCCTTATTAATAATCATGTGAATGCAGAATCTGACATCCGAGAGCCCTAGGTCCATTCCCTTGCTCTGCTAATCTGCTCTGCAGCCTCCCTGCCTCATATTCCTCATCTGTGAAATGGGCATAATAGGTTCCATCCTATTTCTATTATATTTCTAATAGTAGTTAAGAATATCTTCTAAGACTGCTGTGATTATGTCACAGCAGTGGCACAGTGCCTGCCACATAGTAAGTTTCAGTACTTGTTGGCTATTACTATTGCTGTCATTAAAGACGGAAGTCAGTGTGTTGATCCTACCCATGTGCCGGTGTGGGAGGTGGCATACATACATTAAGCATGGATGAGATAAGCCAGTGAGCAGACAGGTAAGACTGTGCAGGTGCCCTATTTAATTGATACCTATTATGGTTGCTTGGTATTTAGCAGAGAATAAAGCAAAGATTCTGGCCCTTGTGGAATTTATACCTGTTCCTCTTTATGTCTTCTCTTCCCTGCAGGAGGCATTGCCACCATTGCAAACAGCGAAAGCACAAAGGAGATCCCCAACTGCACTAGTGTTTAATACCAACAAGCCACGTGGTCAACCACCTTTCTTGACTTTTTATTTTTGATGATTACTATTACTGTTATTATGGAAAAATGAAAACGTCTTTTTTTACCTTTTGTTTACCAAGGGCCCCTACATAGGTAGCAGGAAGATGCTTAGCTTTGGCAGAAAGAGGCATTCTTAGCTGATTGAAATGAGACAAAAATAATAAATGGCTATATTTGTGCTAAGGGCAAAGAATGAATCTTCCCACAGCCTCCTTGCTTTATTCTGCCATTGGTAGCATAAAATCTCTCTTTTTTTTTCTTGCATTCTCTCTTCCTTTTTATTTAAGTTGGGTTGGCTTTTGGTTAACCTCCCACGTACCCCACCTACCCCCAATTCACCAAGACCCCTCCCTCAGCACACACATGCAACACAAACCATTTCCCAGTTAGATCCGCAAGAGGTGGGTTGGGGGGAGTGGATGCAGCTGCAGAAAGCATGCACACCTTGAGGAAAGAGGCCCTGCCTTGTGCATGTCAATAGTGAGGCTACAGGTGGCTTATTGTATATAATTACAATGTAAATAGCTTTTTATTTCCTGAGAAATAATTTAATGTTTAGTAAAAAAGAAAACAGAAAAAAGAAAGATGCCTGTGTTGGCTTACACATTGACCCTCAGAGCTGCCCAACCTGCCAGGCCTGCTTGTTGTGTTGGGTCTGGATGCTCTCCTGTCCTCTGTACCACTTAACTCTTGCATCTCCTTGTCCACACCATGCTGGTTTCTACTTGTGTATATAAAGGGGATGGGGCGGGCTTCTTTGGGGCAATTGATTAAGGAAGGACTCTAGTGACATCATAGAACATGGGAGTCATTTTTGTTCCAACAATGTCACAGGAGAAGTTGCAAGATGAGGCCCACTAGAGACTTCAAACTGATACCTACATGGGAAAAACACTTCCTCTCCAAAATGATAAAGCCAAAGGTGTTTATCAGCCTGAGAAAATAGTTTTCTCTTAAAAAGCCAGGCAATGCATCTAAAAATGACAATTAACTTGTTTTCTGATTGGACTCTATGAATTGTAATGTTTATGGTGAATTCTCAGGCTACTCTCAGCTCAGAACAATCCCCAGGACACTAGGTAAAGCCCATTGGGTGTCTCTTGGCATGGGAAGGGTTGTAAAGGTTGGGAGGGAGGTGAGATTTGTGAAATCCTGAGTCCATAAAAACCCTGCAGGCCAAATAGGGGTCTAGCTTTTAATGATATTAGTCAGAGGTGATTTTAGCAAAGCTGTGCTATTTGCTTGTCAGATGTACACAACTTCCTTAAAGTCAAATGTCTGCCTTCAGTTCCCTTAAAGTAGTGCTTGCCTCTGGGGTGAGTGGCTTTCAAAGCCGATTAGCTTTCCCAGCTCCTCAGCCCCTTACACATGTACACATACCAATTCTTTTCCATAGGGTCACTTTAAGCCATGCTGTAAGCGTTGTTTTTATTTTCAGGCTTAGCCTGAGCACACTCTTGTTTTAAAAAAATGATATACTGTATATATTTGGGAGGAAAGGCCACATTTTGTACCTGTTAATTTTTTGTGGGATGTTATTCCCATTCTACTTTGTGAGAAACAGAGAGAATGTGATATAGAAAAATCTGGCTGGCTACAGCATAGATCAGTATTAGGAATATTTCTAAAGATCCTGCTTTTTTGTTTCAAGGGTTCAATGGGGCAGACCATTGCAATACTTGTACTAAACACTGGAATACAAATGCATGAGTCATATCTATATATACAGTATATGTACATATACTGTTCTTGGTTTTATTGTTCCACTTGAATATTTCTACTGTAAAAAAAAAGACAGTGGTTTTGAAATTGTTGAAAATAAATGTATTTTTGTACATCAAAGCTACATACTTGGCTGAGCTTTCTCTGTTCGGGAAGTTCTCTACCTATCGATCGTATCCATCAACTGTTGTTAACAATCATGCTACATGACAAAAAAAGAAATCGCTTTTTTAGCAGGTGGTTTACTGTTTTATTCATGAGTCTTCAGGTTGGCTGCGGTTTGGCTGAGCTCAGTCAGGACTGACCAGGCTCTGCTGGGCTGGGCTGGATGCTAGTGTAAGTCTGCTCCATGAGTGAGCATCATTCTGGGACCAGCAGCTACCTAGCATATGATTTTTTCATGGTGGATTGCAGAATTCCAAGTGAGGCCACCAAAATAACCTGTGTCTCTAAGCCCCTGAATCACAATCATCACTCTGTTGACTTTTACCCACATTTTGTTGACTAAAAAAAATTGCATGGCCAAGTCCAATATCAATGGCTAGAGGAATAGACTCTACTCTGGCACAAAACAATACTAAGTATCATAACAAAGATGTGGGTAAATAATCCCAATATAGGAAGGGCATGAAGAATCGAGAACAATAACCCAATTTGCTATACCTGTTCATTTTCTGCTACCCCCATGGGGAGCTTGCATGAAATGATCCATGTGAACCAATATCCAAGTTTTCCATCCACGTGTGTATGGCTAGGACCTCTGAGCAGAAGTCTTGGTAACTGCAAGAACTTTGAGTCTGATATCAGTTCCCAGTGAGTGGTACAGATGGAACTCAAACTTAGGTTTTAAGCAGGAGAAATGAAAAAAGGAGAGGAAACCAACAAGATATGTTGATTTTGTTCCCCTCTTCTTCCTGCTGTCTGATGCATGAAACCAACAGTGAGTCTCCCTGCTGGCCCTTTGCTGAGTGGCTGGCTCTTCTTCATGCTAGCTAAATAAGGGAGTGGGAACCGAGCACCCAAAATAAAGTCTGTAAGTTGGATTTTTTTTTTTAAATTTTTTTCATGTTTAAACTATGTGGTTAAGTTCTGCAGGTCCCAGAAACCCAAGAAACCAAAAAGCTTTAGTCAATAATTTGATCCTATACTATGGAAACTAGCCGATGATTCTGGAATCATATTCTTTGAACTTGATTTGAGGGTAAAAGATTAAACAAAGGTGGTTTTCTTTGAATTTGTAATTTATTTAAAATTATATATGATTCCTGATTTACTCTTTCTTGAGTTATACTCACCTTTTGAAAAAAATGTATGTTATGAAAGTACCTTCCTCAAATTCTGAGAATATTACTTAGGTAGCTCTAAAAGAAGTAGTGGGCTTTTTGGGTCTCACTAATGGTTCATAATACAAAGTGCCCCTACTTCTTTAAGGGATTTTTAATGGTTTGGGGCTTCCCAAACAATGCAAAATGTCTAATATTTCTATCCTAAGCCAAAGGCAAATTTTCTAAATGCACTAGTTTTGGCTTCCCAATGGAATCTGAATTCTTCTCATGTTAATTTGATGTCCCGGTTGGTGAAGTTGCTCTACCAGATGAAAAAGGATGAAAGTAAAATAAAGCAGTGAAAAAGTATGAGTCAGTTTGGTCATTTGGAGATTTCTCAGTAGTAGACTGAGGCAAACACAGTTGGCTTTGCAGCTATTTCTCTTGGGGGGGGGGGGTTTCTCACCAGTAGGGAGGACTCTCTTTGCATCAGAATTATCTTCTCTAAGGCAACTCTATACCTGATAACTAAGCTTGCAGAAGTACCCTGGGGCCTGGGGTCGGAGCCCAGGTATCAGCACCACAAGCAGATTCTCCCAGGATTCTCATGTGCATTAAAGTTCGAGAATAACTGCTTCAGCTGTCACTAAAATAGCTGAGGGAAAGGGATTGGGTAAAAGTCGCCTCCCTTGGCTCCTGTTACCATGATATAAGACACCTTAATCTGCAGAAGTGAGAACAGCTTCCAAATTTGCTCATTTCCTCCTGGGCAACAGCTGCAACTTTGAGAGTCACCCAATTGAGTTATCTGGGACAAAAACAAACTGCAAGTTAAGGTGGTGATGGATTGTGCTTTGGAAAGAATATTGAGCCAGGAGTTAGGAGATCTCTGACTTTCAGCAAGTCATTCTGGAGTGCAAGTTCCTTATTTATAAAAGGGAAACAATTGATGGCCCACCTTACTGGCTTGTCTGAGTTTCCAGAGATGCTAAAAGCACATTGCCAATTCCGACATCATTGAGAAATTACTAGTATGGGCAGTACTAGAAGAACCCCCTTCTGGAGAGAGATAAACTGAGACCTAAAGAGAAAAGTGCCTCCCCAAATGTTATACAGCCAGGTAGTGCAAAGAGAAAGATGGAATCTGTGTCTTCTTTATAATAAGGCAGGTTTTTATCCATCACACACCTCCCTAAAAATGCAAAATGGATTGAACTGCAGATTACTGAGAGTCAGTAGAGAGCCCGATGGTCCTGCCAATATGACTCGCATATTTATTATGTCCAGAACGGTTTAGAGTCTCATTTCCCTAGTATGCCAGTCCTTCAGTGGCTCTCGGCCCTCCTCATGCCATTGCCCTGCTGACCCACTTGCGTAGCAGCCATGGCCTCGTGCCCTTGCTTCCCCCACGGGACTGCAATAAGACTGCCCAGTGGACAGCTGCCCGGCCCCAGCTGTACTGTTGCCTTTTAAAGTGATGGGCCTTGTTCAGACAGGGAAGAAGGCCAGAGAGCAAACATAGGCAGTGGTAATGCCTCATCCAGATTACACCAGATCCTGCCAAATTCTCCAACAGTACTGCCAAAGGGGAGCAGATGTAGCCCCAAATTACCTCCCAAAGTACTTAATGCCCCTTAAACTTACTTTAATTTACCATTTCCTTTTCAGTAGCATAGTGTCCTTTAAAATGCTCTTTGCATTTCAGAACATGTGTCATGATGACACATGGGTCCGTTCAGAGAGCCACCAATGGAACACTGTATACTAAAAGGAGGGGGGAACCTCAGCTAGAGTTCGATTCATTTGGAGACCAAAAGTCTCAATAAAACTTAGATCCATCACTTTTTAATTACCTGTTGCCAAGAGAGGTAAAATGATACAGTGTCCAATTTTCCTATCTATAAGTTAAAAATAGTGACATCAACACCACAGGGTTGGAACCCAGATTAAATGGGATAATTTGGGTAAATACACACAAATAATGAATTGATTCTGAGAAGCTCTAGTCCTGTGGTGCTGAGTCTGTGTCCACGTAACACTGTCACTGGCCCCAACAACCCAAGTGGCCGTCGATTCATGAGTGGGTTATTAAAATTTGGTATATGTGTACAATGGAATAGTGCTCAATTATAAGAAACAACAGTCATCTAGCACCTCTTCTATTCTCCTGGACAGAGCTTGAGCCCATTATCCGAAGTGAGGTATCACAAGATAGGAAGAACAGGCTCCACATGCACTCACCATCAAATTGGCGCTGACTGATCAGCACTGTGGTGCTCACAGGGTGGTAATACTCTCCAGGGATTGGGGGTTGGGCGTGGGGCGGTAAACTGACAATTGATGGATGCGGTGAGCATTGCAGAGGGCAAGGGCATGCCTCTAATCCTTGCTTGGGCCAGGCAAAGACATAAAATGTAACCAAATGTTTGTACCCTCATAATATCCTACAATTTCAAAAAATATATATATTATCTAACCATTCTCTTAACTAGGGCTGCACCACCAGGGGAAAAAAGTTGATAATTCCCAGGAAAGACATGCCATCTCCCTCAGCTCCCTCTCAGAAGGAAGAGAATTTTGATTAAAATCCATATACACATTGATCCCCAAAGTCACGTTTTCTTTTATTGCTTTTTTTTTTTAAAAAAAAAATGTAACTGATCTAATTTTGCTTGAACCATATGGAAGGGACATGGGAAGGACTTTACTAATCAGGGCTGCCAGGAATGCCTTGGAAAACTAAAAGACTCAAGGGTCTCAGTTTCTAAAACATGCTCACTGTTACATATGTGGGTGCCAATGGGACAAAAACTGTTCAGCCTTGTTTGTTTATATTTTTTGGCTCAGGTATTTACAATATAACTTGTTTCCTGTTAACCCTGCCTTCTCATGTGATGCTTTTGTGATGACATGTGCAGTCCCACGTCCTGGGGTTGTTCAAAGCCTCTCTCAGGGTCATTGACGTGGGTTCTTTTGTCCACACACATTGAAAAACCATCAGATAAATGGTCACTTGTAAAAATTTACCTTTTAGCTACCCAGAGGTGCTGAGGATGTGGTTTCCCAGCTGTTCCAGAGAGGCACACAAGATGCAGATTCTTTATAAAACGTCAGCAAAGACAGAGAAAAATAGATCATGACAGGCACACATGCCATCTGTCATTATGGCTTAGTCTCTGGGGAAGGATGCTGTTGGCAGCTATTAAAAATGAACCGGATAAAGTGGGGCCACCAGCGATTTGCTCCTGAGAAAGAGTGTGGTCTGGTCCCCAAAGAATAGAGATTTTTTCAGCCAACATGTCTATCTGGCTTATGTGCCTTATCTGCAGAAGGCTGCTGGGCTCCAGCAATTTCTTACCGCAAAACGACCCTACTTCTCCTCCCTGGAGCCTCTCCCCGAAAACTCTTCTTATGATGCAGGGAATCTTACTGCTTACTCTCACTTGCAGAGGGTTGTTGCCATCAGTATCCCCGGAACTGGCTGCAATCAGCCGTCTGTCCAACCACAGAGGATGGGGAGAGAAAGCAGGGCGCTGCAGCAACAGAGAACAGGATTGCTTTTCTTGTCACCAAACTGTCTTTCTCAGTTCCTAGGTAGACTCACCTGGGGAGCATGTAATTGTCTCCATCATCAGCACATCTGGTCCTTGGAGTGCCAGAATGGCTTTCTTGCACTGTCCTTCCAAAATCTTATGGTTGAATTAGAGAATTGCTGGGTTTCTTCCATTGGCAGCTGGGACTTTTCAAGGGAAGGGGGGCCAAGGGAAGAAGAAGGGAAAGTTTGAGTCTAGAGAAATAAAGTTAATCTGTGTCAATTACATAGCTTTACTTGACACATTTTAATTTCAATGTGTCAATT